GCAGCCGCAGTGTACGCCGCGGCGCGCCGGGGAGGGGGCCGGCGGGCAGCGGGTTCATTTCCCTGGTAATCAGCGGCAAGCTGCTATATTCGGGGAATGCTGTCCCTTTAATTGAACAGGCTAGGTAATTAAATGGCACTTTTCCAATAGGACGTGCTAGGTAAATCTAATAGTTGGTTATTTAATATCACTTTGAAGTCTGCCCACTCAAGCACAATGACAGCACAGGAGCATGTGAACTATTAGCTAGGAAAAAAAAAAAAAAAACAGGATCTCAAAAATTAATTAAATCGCATGCAATTTAGGGGGAACGTTTATCTTGATTTGTCATAACAGAATTAATTCAAGGCCTCCAATTCACTTGGGGGCAGATCTGTTACTCTGAATTAACCAAGCGTAATTTGGCTGGGTTGTTTTTTTTTCCTTCCCCTTCTCTAATGCAGCACTTGCCATTATGCACAGCCCCCCTTTTAAGTATCAATAGCTTCTGGTGCTTTTAAGGTGCTTGGTCTCTAGTTATCCTGAAGTACCTTTAATGGACTTGGCTCCAGGCATAATTTCTGTGTTGCCTTTCTTTGTTACATTTAACATAGCTGGTGCAGAATTTAGATTAAACTAGGGAATGTACAGAAACACCAATTGCTTCTGGATCAGTAGGTCTGGATGTGCGTTTCTCTTTGCTAGGGCTTGGATATATATTTGTGGGCACAAATGTGCACCGTGTTGGGGAAGAATCTGGGCACTTAAATCTCTCTCCACAATTTTGGAAACAACTGGAACCTTATTTTGTTAGTGTAAGTTGCTAGAGAAGTGTTTCTGCTGATACTGAATTTTGAGTGGCAAGATGGGAAACTGGGCTGAAAAGATTTCTCGCTGCCTTCATTCCCACTCTTGTGAAAGTTATGGGGAAAAAAAAAAAACCACAACAAACCAAAACCCAACCCAAAAAACCCCCAGGAGCATTTGTGTGTTTGGGGGTGTGGGGAGCGCTGTGTTGGAACCACACAGTAGTTAATTTAAGGTGGCTCAGTAAAATGCTGCGAAGTGTAGAAGAGCTGCCTTGTCCTTACAGGGAACCTCTTGATGTTTGTGATTGATTGCATTGCCCAAATGTTGAAATATTAATGACCTTCTTGGACTGAGGACCCAAAGAGGAAACTGAAACCAATTCTGTCATCACAATTAAAGAGTCCCCTGGCTTTAATTAGCCTGACCTGGGGTATCTCTACCCATTGCTGCAGTTAAAGAGAAAAGAGCCCATTAAAGTCCAGTCTGAGACCGATAGCTACTTAATTGAGCACCTAAAGCCTCAAGCCTTTTAAATCAAATACTGTCCTGGACAGTCCCCCTGGTTAGATAATTAGCTCTCCAGCCTCTCAGAAACCATGTGAAACAACTTTTTCAGTAAAGAATAGTTACTGTGGAAGACTTCTTTTACTGGTAAGGAGGAATAACATTTTTTTAAAAGATAAAAACCTTTTTCCTGTTAGTGGTATTACAGAACAAAACCATAACAGTAGAGAAGGAAAAATAAGCTTAATTTTCCTGGTAAATAATACAAAGCAGCAGAAAGGTGTTCTGACTTTGCAAGTCATTTTTAGGAATTTTAGCAGAAGATTCAGCTGAAGTGACTTTCCAAAACAGAATAGTTCTGGGAACATGCTTAGGGAAAACCTAAGAAGTGTGGAAAGCCTCTGGATTAGTTTGACTACATTCATTAGAATTCACAGGCGTTCAAGGTGTACCACCACTTCTCATCAGAGAGAACTGTATAACAAATGAATGCTTGATGAAGACAAGTAGTGCAAGGAGATCCGCAGTCCGAAAGCTGTGTTTTTGGCTGGGTGGTGCAATGGTACGGGGGGCTCAAGAGCCGCTCAGCGGGTTCGGACTCTCCCAGACAAGTAACGCTGTCTGTTCATCTTTGCCTTTCTTCCTCCACCCTGCCCAGCAACACCCTTGTCGCCCCCCGCTACCCGAGATTTTTGGATCTTTGCTTAGAAATGTAAGAGTGCCTTGCTGCCGCCTCTTGGGTGCCAACTTCATTACTAGTGGCAACAGAGGAGGAAAAATGCCTATCATAAAGCTTTGGAAGGAGCCTCAATTCATCGTGTAACTACTCGGAACTGGTCCTGATTTCAAAGATGCCCTAATAACGGACCCTTAGTTTCCAGTTTAGTCCCCTTGGCTGGAGGTCCTGACAATGTGTTAGTTCAGCTTTCCCTTTGTAACCGCTGCGATTCTGCAAGAACGTGTCAATGTGTCGTGGATCTCAGACTAATTAGTTTTGAAATGGAGTTTTGATTGAACTCTTCAAATCGATGCTGCTGCAAAATTTGTTTCTCAGCTTCCTATTAAAAGCCATCTTAAGGGGCAGTTTTACTACTCTCTCTGTCGTTCAGTCGATACATTTAATAACAACTTACAGGCTATTTTCAATAAAGTGGCGACAGCAAATTAGTAGTTTGAACATGACAAGCCTCCTCTGCAAGCTCAGATTCTGAAAATTCAAAGCAATTATTTTTATACAGAGGCACACTGCAATCATTCAGATTACGGGTATTCTGTTGTAATGCGTCTCCTAGGTTGACACAAACAGAATTTTATGACTTTATTTGGACAGGAAGGAGACGCAAATATTAATATTTATTATGACACCAATACGCTAATTTGTAAATCCTATTACTGTGTTTTACATCGTGCAGAAAAGTGGGTCTGTGACCCTGCCAGCTAGTTCAGTTTCCTTTTTTACCGAGAAATGACTGTGGTAGTCTTTATAAATATTTGTGTATGTGAGAGAGGCATGCAAAAGCAAATAAAGGCTTTCTAATTCTAGCCTGTAAAAGTAGACTTCAATAATCATTATTGTATTATATTTGAATCGATGTGTTGTGCCTTTAAATGGATTTGAAGAATTATGTATATATTTTTCTTCACCACTCTTCTGCCCATTTCCCCCCTCCCCCACTGCGTGTGCCCCCCCCAATGGCAGATGTTGTGGTCTCATTTGATTGCATAGGAAAACTGCAGTGATACAGCAAACACCCAGAGAGATATGATGACAAATGGGTCCAGATCCCGGTAAATTACTTTCTGCTCAAATCGAAATTTCATTCAGTTTGTTGCTAGCAGAGATGAAGTAATCTAAATTGTGGACTCAGGAGCAGATAGAGGGAAGTTGGAGCAAGCATTTCATTATCAAGAGAGAGAGAAGGTTAGGATGAAAGAGATGAGCAGAGGCAAATCTAAAGTGTTGACACCATGATTGAAAAGGTTAACCCATACACATTATATATCAACCTGGATAGCAGAGAGTTTCTAATGGAAACTCTGCACTGATGGAGGTTTACTGGAGTTTCAATACACTGAGCATGATGTCTTCTTAGATATACAATCAAATCCTCTTAACCCTTTTGATGACTCATATCTCAAGATATGATTAAAGTACAAAAGAGTTCTTCATATAATTTCAAGGACACAATGCATTTAAACTCCAGTCATGAATTGTATCTTTTTTTTTATGATGAACCCGGTAATCTGATGAAATGTGTGCTGTACAGAATTGTTGGTGTTTCTGGAGGTGTAAGTCAATATTTCTGATTAAATCCCATGTAACCACATCCAAGGTAGGGTGAAGCTACCAGTTGTTACACAAAAATACACTTTTTCTTATTATGACACGTAAGCAAGTTGGAAGACGGGGGTCAGAAGTCTAAGATAGTTGTGTAATAAACCATTGCAGTGATGTGCAAAAATGCTTAGACCCTCCTGTGTATTAAATTATTCATGATCATCACCTCTGTTTCAGGTTATTTGGAAATAGTGGTGCTTGCAGTGCCTGTGGACAGTCCATTCCTGCCAGTGAGCTGGTCATGAGAGCACAGGGCAACGTCTATCATCTTAAGGTGAGGGGGTTTTTCTATGTGTTGTTTTGGTTTTTTTTTTAGTAGCTGATTAGTACTGCTGTGCTTCTTTAGTATAAAATCTGCATCTGCTTATGAATGAAATGCAAAGCAATAACTAGAAAGATGAGTACATGTTTATAAAGCTTCCCGTAGTGTGTAGCTTTGTTCCCTCGTAATCGGTAAAACTATACTTGAGTTACGTACTGCACAGTCCCAACAGGTAAGACTAATGCTGAATTTGGAGATACTAGAAACCAAGCAGCTCCGTGTCTCAGCTGTACTTGCGGTCTCTGAAGTGTAATTTTCAAACCTGCAGCATACGTAATTTGTGCTGTAGTTTCACGTGCTGTCTCTTTCCTTTTTCAGTGTTTTACATGCTCTACCTGCCGGAATCGCCTGGTCCCCGGAGACCGGTTTCACTACATCAATGGCAGTTTATTTTGTGAACATGATAGACCTACAGCTCTCATCAATGGCCATTTGAATTCACTTCAGAGTAATCCACTACTGCCAGACCAGAAGGTGAATACTCAACAATTACTAATAAGCTTTATTAGAGCTAAATGAAGATCAATTTCTTTTCATTCTAATAGTGGACATTCCCCACCCTCTGCAAGGAGTCCTTTAAAAGTGAACTTACCTTAAATAACTTAGGCATGGGGTATGGGGGAGAAAATACTAACCTTTTAAATTCATACAACATACAGGGCGAGTCAGTTTATTTTGGTTTGGGCATGTGCATCTCTGCAGCTGTTGGAACTCCTTATGTATAGAGCGAAATGGAGAGCGTACATTAATATAAACTCTTAACAAAGAGAAGTATTTTATTTTATAATCTTGAAATTAATGGCTACAAGAGAGCAGGTTTCTGTGGGAGGAAAATTAGATCCTTTAATATGGAAATAGCTGTCTTATGAAGAGAAGGCTCCTGAACTAAACCAATGTATTTCACTTTAATATTAAGGTTTTAGTTGAGGAAGCATGCTGGGGTACTCTTTCAGAAGTGTTTTCCTGTCTGTTTTGTATGTCATGACTCAGATTTAAAAACCAAAGTGCTATTTTCTTATCGCTCCGTAACACTAATAGCTCAACTAGAGATTGTATATCTCTCTGGTTGATAGCTCTTGGTTTCCAGCTAAATGAGTAAATAATGACTGTACAAATCCTATAGAGAAGAAGAAGGAAAAAAAATACTCTGATCAACAGTTGTCCTGTAACTCTGAAACTAGATAGTTTTAGATCTATTTTAATCTCCTTAATAAGTCCTAAAGCTATGCAAGTGAGTGCATTTTGATAACTGCTGTGCCTAATTTGTAACAATTACTGTCAACCTTGAGTTAAGAGACTGTTCATTCCACCCTGGTCCAGAAAAGAGTGAATGTATGACTCTTGCACATAATTTTATTCACATCATATTTCATACTGATTATGTATTGATGACATTGATTCATTTACTCTTTACAGCGCCACTTGCATGGATATTAAATCTTATTGACCACAGATGAATTTTAATTTCAGATTGGTGATAGATTTTTCCATCAGCTCTGATAGTATATTTGACTTTTTCATCATTAACCCAGGCAATCACACAGCACTGAGTTATTGCAATGAAACAAAAAGTGCACACTTCAGTTGGTAATTCTTTATAGATTTACAATAGGAACTTCATTAATGTCTGTAAGGATCACAAAAAATAACATTTATCTGCAAATAGGAATTCTGAAGATTAAAAAAATCTGGGACAACTGCTAGGCTGCTCTATTCTGTAATGTACAGAATATTTTTTAGTGCTTTCACTTAGTGGAGAAATATGTCCAAGAGAACACAAACTGGTTTTTAATTTCCATGATTTTTTTTTTGTTGTGTTGCTACATTTCAATATCTGTGTTTGCTTTTTTTTCTGTGCATAAATTTACCGATTAATTTTAAATATTCTTTCAAGTCTTACACAGTGAATGTAATTACATCAAAATAAAACATGGACCTTTTTTATTTACTTAATTTGTCAATCGAGGTGATGAGAGAGTCGAGTACAAAAGTCCTATATAGTTAGGCAGAACAAAGATAATTAAGATTGGAGGAGAATGTGCAGCCTCTTCTCAAGGAAGTACAAATACAGTTAAAGATTCATAGATTTACACTGCTGTGAATTTTAATGAAACAAATCTGTAATACAGACTGGCTAGCGGTGTATCTGTTAAATGAATATTTGTAGGTATCCCATTTCAAAATATAGGCAAAACCATTCATCTTTATACACAGCAGTAAAAGGTTTACCATTCTGAGAGAGTGGTTTATCCACTTGTCTTCTACGAATGTAAAGTTTAATGTAACTTCAAATAGGTGTCTAAATTGTCATTTAGTTTTATCAGTTTCTTCCCATGCCTAGCAAAACATAAAAATGATTTAGTTGCAATAAAAGCAGTAGACATGATGAGGAACGTAGAACATGGAAAAGAGAAGTAAAATTGGACTGGGCTCGCAGAGCTCACGACTGTAGACACCTGGTAGAAGCTAAATGCAGAGCAAATACGGAGAACAGGTTTTTATTAGTTCCTGTCACTGACTGTTAACTGCATTGCTACCGTCAGTGGTGAGGCAGGCGAAGAGGTATTAGGGAGAAGACTCGGGGGAGAGATTATAGTTTGGGGGGTTTCTCTTTATAATATAATCTCTCGAGAAAATGGTGTAACTTTTCCTACCAGTTTTCAAAGAGGAACTGCAGAGCACCTGAAAGCCAGAAACTGAAGAAATATAGTTGAGGTACTATAGTTGCTCATTCATAGATTTGTCAAGTTTCTGGAGTTGCGGAAGCTACAGGGGCAGGTGCCAAAAGAATCGTGTTTTGTATGTTGGCTTTTTATTGTCTAAAGATGCTTACACCAGAGATGTTTTCCAGAAAGCTCCATGTTTTAGGGCCACTAATTAAAAATGTTCTTCCACTATGACGGAGTTGGCTGTAACAGATACTTTTTATTAAACAGTAAAGATCAATCAGTCTCCACGTTACTCTACCACTAGAGATTATAGACATAGCAGAATATTCACAGGGTTTTTTATTAAACTGAAGAGATTGAGACGTACACCCAGCATTAAAACACATTTTTGTTGCATGTGTGAGGGTGACAGTTACAAACTCACTATTGCTTTAACATAGCTTACAGGTTGATACCTATTGGTGATTGGTGCAGGCAGAAAGGGCTGCATGACCTAACTTTGTGTAAAAACTTGCTTTTCTTTTTAAGAAGGCAAGCGCAGTGATGTTGGCTACTCCTGCCTTTCGCCTCCCTGAGGCAATTCACACATGTAAATTGTAACTTCCCATCACTTGCTATGGAGTTGGGGGGGAACCCAAAACTAAAACCCCTGCTTTCTCTGAACTCGGCACTGCTTGCTTCCAGAATGCAAACGCTTCCTTTGTGATGTCCTCTGTGCCCTTTCGTTTGAACAGGCTGTATTGTCAGGAATTCTCTATGTTTTTTTGGTAGTGGTAGTATTCCTTGTTTCCAACAGCATTACTACCTACTATAAGTGTAAATTTTCTACCGGTTGGCAATGTTCGTAGCAAAAGCTTGTCTTCAGCTTCTATACTTTTAAATAAAGTATGAGTTAGATTACGTCTCTCAGAGAAGATCTTAAAAATCTTCTAGTTTACATATCACTCAACAATTCCCTTGTAGTTACATAATTGGTGTTGTCTGTGTCCATAGTAGAAGATATTTGATGCTCATTTATTAAATATGCTTGCTGGCTGCTCCCTAATCTTTGTTCTGGACAGACAAATTACCTTTCTCACACTGAGCTTCAGCTCTGGGGAATTAAACCTCCAAGCCTCCACTACTTTAATTAGCTTGAAAGTGGGGGGTTGCAGTTACTAATAGACCTCAGGCTTTTAGTAAGTTAGAGAAAGGGTGAAAAAAGAACTTCCTGGGAAGCGCAAAATGTCATTTAAAAACCATAAAAATCTAATATATATTATTTCATTTTGGTAATTGCAAACAGATTGTATTTGAAGACTATGGATGATCATTTCTATTTTATCTATGAAAGTTTAGATTTTTATTGAGTTAGACACTCACAATTATTACAATTCATTAACACCAGTGTGAAAGCACATGTTTGACTTCATATATTAAAATGTTTATGTAACATTAACTAACACACCAGATGAGGAATTTTAAATGGGGGCGAAAAATCCTGAAATATCTATATTTAGCTCTTGTGCAATGCAGCATATGAACCAAAGTTGCCTTGGGAGGATATTGGCTGTACTTCTTATTTGCTTTACACACTATTTCTTCCAATTATAAGATCATATTACTAGCTTCTTCAAAGGCATGGCATAATGTTTCTCCCCTTTTAAAAGGGGCCCAGAAAAAACACCTTATTCGCTGTACGATTTATTAGCAGAAAGTACACTTATTTATTGTTATCGTCTCTTTTTTTCTCTGTCTGCTCTTTTTAGTAGTGAAACTGCAGAAAACGTTTGGGTTTTGCTATTGGAAGTTGAAACGTTAGCAGTATGAATGGATAGTGTAGAAAGCCTTAATCAAGTCACAGTTGGAAAGTAATCTAATAAAAAAGAGATTAGTGAATGAGGAAAAGACAAAAGCAGTCATGTTGTAGTTTCCTATCTCAAATTTAGTGCTCTAGCTAAGATACCCATTTTTATTTCTTACAGGTCTGCTAAAAGGTCAGAGTAATGCAGAATGCGTGCCTTCATCTCAAATTTTGTTCATCACAGATGGATCCCATGTCTCCAAGTAGACAAGTCACCTTTGTAGCTAGCATCAATGCCAGCTCCATACCATTGCACCTTCTTTATTCCTGATTGCCCTTCCCACATTTATTGGTGTATTAAAATGACTGAATATGAACATTAAGGACTCCATGAACCTGGGCTAATGGGAGACTGTAGAGAAAATGAAAAAAGATCCACCGGAGGACATCTTGGGGGGGAGGGAAGATGACTAATGAAGCTAATTAAAAGAAGCATTGAAATCTGCTTTCTACCCTCATTAACAATTAGCAGGGCACTGGCCAGTTTGTACCCTGTGTTTTACCTTAACAACATTCTATTTGCTCTTTGTATATTTAAGTGTTGTAAGGAAATGTGTTTCAATCAAACTGAACATGAGATAAAGATGTGGCTTTTGTGATATTCTATCACAAACACTTTTATTGTATCTCTGTAAAATACAATGTATGTATGCATGTAAGTGTTTTTGTCCTAATGTTGCTACTTCCCATGGCAAAAAAAAAAAAAAAGAAAAAAAAAAAGTCAGGCTCATAGCAGCTACTGTGTAGAAATTTTCACCTACTTCTAATTTGCTGAATGAAGAAAAATCTTTTATTTGTGATATTTTCAGAGACATTTGCTCTAGTATGGTGTATTTAAATAATAAAAAAGTAAAACAAACAACACTGAACTGAGTATGGGTTTTAGAAGCTTTGCTTTTTTTAAAAAAAACCAACAAACTACATTCAAAACATTCTGAAACTGTATCTTATGTAGTCGTTACCTTAATTGTCAATTACTTTTAAAAGTAGCTTTTTGGTTTGGACAGGTTTTTTTGTCTTACGCTAGTAAAGAATCTGTTAAACTACTTAACCGTGTTACTTTTGGCAAGGATACAGAGCACTATTTCAAAATGATCTTTATTTTTCATTAAGATTCTTAATTCTGGTAACAGCAAGTATATTATAATTCATATTTCAGTGAATTATGGTACGCATATAGGTATTGTGGTCTCTTTCTAGCCAGCTCCTTTCTGCAGAATCATCTGTGTTGAGGGTGTGCGTGTGTTCCGTGAGTGTGCGAGCATGAGAGTGTAGGTATATACCATAAGAGGTCAAAGAATAGTAAAATAAAAACCAACCAAATGTCTGTGCCTCATGCTGAGCCCTAGAATTGAGTATTCATAAAAAGGAATACAATAGCTATTCTGATCTGAGCAACATGAAGCTGTGTTTGCTGTGGTAAGAGACTAGCTTCTCAACACTGATAATCTTAAGGAAAGAAAAACATGTTCCCGGGCTGTTTCCGAGAACTAACTGATCTCAAATATGATCTGTTCTCTGAAAGCAGACAAACAAAAACCACCCCCCCTGCCCAAAGCAACAAAGCCTCCTCCAAGCTTAGAAAGGGAGCAACTTTATTTAGTGGGTTTTTCCCATCAGCTGCTGGATGGTAGAGCTGTACACAATAATTTTGAGAAAAAATTTTGACTTTTCATGCTTGTAGCAAGAATACGAACATGAATCTAAGGCTGTGCGTTGTATGCCTTCAGTCAGGAAACTGCAAGCACCTAGAATGTGCCTCTGCCACAATTAATAACAATATTAACAACTACTCTGCTTTTATAGGAGATTAATACATTTGGAATACATAATGATTATCTCTTTTTTTTTAATTACTGTTTTTGAGAAGGTGTTCACTGTTCAGCGTGCTTGGTTATGGAGTGAGCTTGACTTATTTTTGTTGTGATGCTGATACACTAAAAGCTGATTTATAGATTTGTCTGTTTAAACAACCAACAGATTTTTTTTTTCAGATTCTACTTCTTGACCTCTAGTATATTGGAAGTCTGCTGAATTTCTTCTTTTAACACTTCAGTGCTTGAGGCAAAATAAGACTGTCACAGAGAAAAGAAAATGTCGTAATGTACAGTATCAGACTGTAAAGACAAAAGGATACTTGAGTAACATATAAAGCAATAAAATGAAGCTATGTATGACTTTTTAATTAAATGCACTTACATATTTTTTTTTTAAATAAGTTCCTAAGCTTTTTCATCTGGCATTAAAGTCTTTAGGTAGAGTCCTGCAAATTGTGCCGCTTCAGTATCTCTGAAAGACTTGAAGTCATATGAATATAGAATTCAAGTATTAGTGAGACTGTAGACATCTTTTTATACTCTTTCAGTATAAGCACTCAAGGTACAGTGTTTAAATCTAACATGTACAGATTTTTGGTTGTCCAATATAACCTAAAAGTGCTAAGAAGATAGCTAATAACTTCTAGTAAGTAATGTAGTATAGCATTTAGTGATGTAGAGGTTGAAGTTCATTAACGGCTTTAAATAAACTATTATACGACTCGTTTGTAAAGCACAGCTACCTATTTAATAGCTTACTTTAAAAGCATTTCTTAAGTTGCAGACCTATAAGATTACAAATGTCACTCATGTTAGCATAATCCACATGCAAGTGATGAAGCCTTTGCTTTGATGTGCTAAATTGGAGGAGGACTAATGGAGCTATGAATATACAATAGAACATATTTAAGTAGTATTCTTGCTTTAGGTAAAACACTTTCTTGAAACCAGAGGCATTTCAGACAATAAAACAGGCTGTAATGGGGATGGTAGGTGTGGCTAGAAGGCTACTGGAAACACTTAGATTTGTCCTTATGTGAAAAAACACTTTTTTAGGAGATCTGTAAGGAAAAACATGTACTTGTTCACCTTTTATCACATGCATTTGCTACACTGAGGCTGAAATACACCCTCTGCACTTAGTGCTGCTGAAAAGTCATACAAATAATCATTCAGTAAGAGCTTCCCTCACTTTCAAAAATGAATGCTGTTAAAAAAAAATCAAAGGAAATATTACTAATCTGAAATCATCCTCATGAACCTGGATAAAATGCTCTGTCTATACTGCATCTAAATGTCTCAATCATATAAATTGTCACTCTTATTAATGAAACAATTTTGTAAAAAGATTGCCCTCTAAATGGGTTTAATGTTTTTACCTCTCCAGCTGTCTAGTTATGAGATTTACGCATCCAGGCAGGCAGTGGGACATTAAGCCTTTCCAAACCAAATTCTGTTTGCAACAAGATACTGTCTTTCCAGTCCTACATGATTTATCTTTAAATATTTTAACAGGTTATGCAGTATCTTATGAAATATAAAATGAGAATGTCTTACCAAAATGAAGCCTGTGAAATTAAGTCACACCTTTAGAATATTAACCACATGGAGTTTGTCTCCCTTTTTCCCTGTTAGTTAACACTGATAAAATTTGCATCATCTAATTTTAGGGTAAATACCAAAAGAAAAAAAAAATCACATACTGGCATAGTATGACTTGCTATCAAGTACCATCAGGCATTTCAAAAGATCATTTTCATTTAAATTTTTTATCGATTTCTTTGGCTGGTACCTATATGTCAAGTGTGAGGCTTTTTGCAAGGATCTACGTTCTGAACAGCTCTATTAACAAATAAAATTGAGATTGGAACATCTTACGCATATATATCTTTTAAAGTATTATATTTCTTCAGTGTGAATTTATGTGTTCCAGGTCTGATTTCACTGCCTGAGCCTCCTGTACGTGAAGCACCAGATAACCATTGTTGCTGCTTGTTACTTTTAGTACCAGGTGCCTATTGTCAGTCCACCTAAGCCACAGAAGAGCTTATTGCAATTAAATAGCAATTTGTTTCTATGAAACTGCAATTAAAGTATTACTGATCAGCCATTTTAGATTGGCAGCGCTTTGACTGCATGTTAAACAGTGAAGAGCTCTCGATTTATTTCTGCGGAGTCTGAGCTGCGAGTAACAGTGAAGTGTAACACACTCACCTATGTCCCTTGTCAAGTTGAAAGTATGAGTCCTCTGTGAAGCACTCTGATCTCATCACGAACATGCTGAGAGCAATGACAAGTCAGGGCTGATCTCTGCAAGTTGAACTTGCAACTTACAGGACCCGAAGTTATTACTGTTTTCTGTTCCTGTATAAGCAGGGATGTGTACGCTTCCTACAGGGGATATTTTCAACTTCAGATTGATTCTGTTGAGAACGGACTGCAAGTTGTGGGCTGCAAGCCAATAACGTACTGCAGGTCCTGGCTTGTTAGAGCTGTGTAAACAGGGCTACTATATCTCCTTAATCGCAACTAATAAAAGACTAGAAGAAAGCAATCAATTACCTTATAAGTTGGTTTTTTTCTATAAAAAGCAGAAGTTTATCTGACAGGGCTATTCTTTTCAGACTTGTACAACAGATGAGACAGTTCAAAGCAACCCAATTGGCTTACCTGGGCGCAGCCGGGGTTTGCTGGCGCCTGTTCGCCTGTAAGGTTCCCGGGAAGCCACAGTGCTCCTGCTCCCAAGCCTGGCAGGACCTGCCAGCCACCGCCGTGCGTCCCCTGCCAAGCTTGTAGCCACTTGTGGTTGACTTGAAATCTGAAATGTAAATTTTTGGTGCAAATTAAAAACTTGTTTGTAAGAAGTCAAAGAGAAATTAACTTTGTAGTGGTAATTATATTTCTTAACTATCACCATATTTTAACAAAGTCTGAGACATGTTAACTTTAGTTCCTGCATTTTTGCACAGTGGAGGCTGTAGACATCCTCATTCCTTCGCCAGAGGGGATGACATCACACCTGTGGCATGCATGAGATAAGCGTTGCTTCATTTAGAAACAGGTTCCTGTCTCTCAGAGATGTTCCTTGGAGGTGAAACGGCTTGGGTCCTATTCCTGAAGTGTGACCCATCGTGTAGATGAGTGCCGCTGAGCAAACTGCTGCATCAGGTGGTAAACGGGTAACACAACCGCCCACATGCCGGAGGAGCAGCAGTAGGTGCCCAGCATGTGCGGGCTCTTAGCCCCTGGCAAATGGCAGGCAAAATGCCTGTGCTTAACCCTCAGTGAAAATGGCCCAGCTGACAGTCGGTAATTCATTCACCCACAGTAGATTGGTCATATGTCTGAGCCTAAGGCCTGATAAAAGTCCTGTTTACTGGAGACAGACGCGACTGTGTTGAGGAATTTTTTTTCCCCTCCTCTGTGGGTATTTTTTAACAACTTGTGTTCTCTTGTTGTTTCTTTTAACAGTAGTTCTAGCATTAAGTTCACAGAAATGTTTTTGGCGTGCAGGAGGCTACACGGTTCAAGGAGGAGGCAACAGGATCTATGACAGTAGCTGGGGATGTAAGCCTTAGTCCTGCCTGGTGGCTCACGTTGCATTTTTGCCCCTGCTTACCTCTAGCTTGTCCACTGAAGGGCAAGCAAGGGCCTGGCACCACAAGGGCTGGAGTTTTCTGGGTTCTATGAAGGAGGCCTCTCAGTGCTACTGTATTAAAAGTAATAAATTGCAGAATTTTAGTGACTGGAAAGGCATGTGCAGGCCATGCCACAATGTGTTTAGCCAGGTCAGAAAAGATGTAAAGTCCAGCGACTTAAACAACAGCTGTCCCTCTAACAGGGTGGTGCTTGAGGAATGTTATGTGGGGGCTCAAGCCTCTGAAGGACCAGTCCTGAAAATGTCCTGGGCTTTCAAACAGCAAAGCATGCACACCCAGGAAGGCTGGAATTTTAATAGGTGCTGAGTAACTTTCGAAAAATTTAAGCTTAAACTTCTCTCATAGTCACCGTTCAAATACAGGCCTCATGGACCATTGTGCCA